ACAACATATGTAATTCACATCAATACTAACAATCACATTCACCTATCAATGACGTAATTAACTGATAAAGAAAAATGTATATCTTTTGAGGAGAAATAGAGATTTTACTTTAACCTAATAAATATATATATCTATATTTCCTTGCATACAATCATTCCAAATAAAAAAGTTCTTGAATTTAAGCAAGCTAGTTATTTGGAAAACATATTTAATCAACACATGAACAAGAAAATGGAAATACATTATTGAAAATGTGCAGGAATGTCTAAAGGGAAAAAAACGAATATTGGTTTGTTAAAATCCTTTAAGGTAAAGCAGTTTTGATTACAAACTTGCTATTTTTTATTTTAAAATGTCCTTGTATTGCATATATTGTGATTATTATATTATGCAGTAATTATTAAAAAATTGTTTAATAAGCAGTAAAAATGAAAACAAAAGTATGCTCACCCACAGTCACAGATGCCACAATAATTGCTTGATGTATGTGCCCAGAAAACATAATGTTACTCATCCACTGAGTGATAAACCAAATGTCATATTTCCCTATTCACTTTTTAACTCTCAAAACAATGCCACAAAGACTGGGGCCTAAATAATCTCAAACAAAATATCGTCTTCTGTTAGCCATTTACACATAAAATTGCCATTAAGTGGTCCTTTCTTGAATAAATAAATTCATAATAGTAAGACTAACTATGCTGAATTGTAGTTCACTGGTGCATTTCTGTTCCAACAATCCTGGTATCTTACCCTATTTGCCGAGTTACAGAGGATTTGTTGACAAGTTCTACTTGAACAAATTGTGTTTAGACAACAGTATATTTCATTCAGGTCTTTTGCACTGACTAGGCCAAGGTCAGTTTTATATTCTACTGAAATCATAAAATGACACTCGAGATAAACAGAATGTTTACTCTCTCCCTGTGAACTGAAGCTGATATGTAAATTTATCCTTATTCTTTCATCAAATTTGCATTTACCCTCTTAACCAAACACTACAGGGCTCCAATTCAAACAACTTTAATGATGGTCACCCCTTTATGACCGATTGCTGTATCAGGAAGGGGAAGAGCAATTTAGATTGAAATGAAAAGAGAAAGGCATAGTAGCTATCGCCAACCGGTTAACAATAATTGGATCAACTTTTCACAGAAATGGATGTGTTTTGATGCTCTAGTGCCTGACGAGCAATAGCTGAGCAATTCCCCTATTTATTATTCTCCTTTTATCTGCCACCGCCAGACCTTTCTTTCAGCAGCTATTCCGGGCTGTGCTAATCAAACAACTTTAATAAGACTAAAACAGCATCTCTGTAGCTTCAGGAAAAATCTTCGCCTTCCATCACGCAGCACATTGAAAGCAATGCTGAATTTTTAAAACAGCCTGTTAATGTACATATGTTTTGCAACCCAAAAAAGTAGCATATTGTTTGATGCCCAGGAATCTCGTGTCTCATGGCCAGCATTTCCCTTCGTGTTAAATACCACAAATGCCTCCTCTCTTTCTTTTCTTCACAGGAATTGCACTTTGTGTGAGATATAGCCTAGGACCTCTTGAGGACGTTCAAAGCCTACAGAGAGAGGAATTGATCCAGAATTGCTATCTTTTACAATGTACATTGTATTTACTTTTAAGCTAATGTGAGTTGTGCATATGCATTAAGAAAATGCCATTGCTTTGAGTTATATCAAACTATTATTTTTATTTAAAATTAGTCATCTATCTATGCTAGTTAAAAACTGGAAAGAACAGTGATCCAAGCAACATTCCATATGATCTATCCATTAAAAGATATAAAGAACAAAGGTTTTTGGCATGCTTCAATCACCTTTCCCTAATTATGTAAAACAAAATAATCTATTATCCTGGCAAACTTCAAAATGTATGTATCTGTCTATACAGAAACAATATCAAGTTGATATTGATATTTGTGCATGAATGATGACAAGGTGTTTGTCACTACTGTATGTAGGAATTTAAAATTGTATTTACCAATCTGGGAATTATACTCACTATTGAAAATCAGAATGGTAACACTGTTACTGAAATTAAATTCAGTTCTAGAAAACAGATGGAAGAAATCTACAACTAAAACTTCCATAATGTCCACAGTTATTCATTTTAAATGGGAAAATAATCTATAAAAACACAAAGAAACTAATTATGTTCAAATCAATTTGTTCCATTCCTAATAGGTTTTGTTTACAAATGCTTGTTCTATTATGTTATGTAATATAGATTATGTACATATTATATATTAACATATATTATGTAATATGCAACATAAAATATTATGATGGAATATTGCAACACAAGAATATTTTTTTTGGGGGGGTGTAATAAAGAAAATATTTAGACAGTAATAAAGTTGTTCTAGTAATACTCGATTTTCTAAATGTGTGCTGTATGCTTAACCACAGTAACACCCAGTCCTGGCACAAAAGTCAAAATTATTTATTCAGCATCCAGTTTTAGTGAATAATGTAAAATCCCACACATAAGTTAAATTCAGTAGTTCAGTCAAAAATCTGTTTATAACCAAAGTCTGGGAGGAAGGGACAGAGTGGTGGCTCTGTGGCTAAGGAGCTGTGCCTGTGGCAGGAACGTTGTGGATTCAAATCCTGTGGCCGGCAGAGGACTCCTACTCCGTTGGGCCCCTGAGCAAGGCCCTTCACCCCAGCTGCTCCAGGGGCACGGTGTACAATGGCTGACCCTGTGCTCTGACCCCAGGCATCTCTCTCCGTGTCTGTGTGTGTCTCAACGAAGAGCAACCTGGGTTATGCGAAAAGACCAATTCCTAATGCACAGAATTGTATAGGGGTTATAAAGTGATCTTATCTTAGGTTAGATCCTAATCACACACACTTTCCCTTGATTATGTATATACAGTAAATCTCACACTCAGGTCTTCCCTTCACACCTCTCTTCTCCCCTCTTGACACCCCATCTACACCCCTGCAGCAGCTCCCTGGCTCAATCCTCGCAAATCCCCCGGGGGGGTTTGGGCAGCTTCTTCCTTACAATTAAACTGCCATTCCCTCAGCTCACTCTCTCTGAACACTCTACATTTCTCATAACTTCATGACATTCATTAGGATCTAACCAAAACTAAAGAGCTCTAATTAAAGCACCAAGGTGCTGAGGTTCATAGGGACAGTGTATTTTATGTTTATTTGGCAAAACTCACCTGACTCACCTGACTGAGGAAACCTGACCATGTTTCACAGGGAATGAGACAGGGAGCCACTGGGAGGATGGAGATGGGGTGGATGAAGGATTTCTAGAATAAAAAGGCGTGTAAATGTGTGTAAAAGTTTGCTTTAGAGGTGAGATATTCATGTGTAGGAGAGTGGATGTGGGAGAGATTTAAATTTGACCTCTCACATTTCTGTTTAAAAATTCTGTATAGTCAGACAAAAAGCAATACAAAACCCACAGTTTTTAGTGATGCATAGATTCTTTTTAGCGTAACTGTCTGTCTTCACAATATAGGGACATTGTAGTTTTTTTTTTACTCAATCAGTTCGATTTGAGAAAAAGATGGGCCGAATTTCATATTCTAAGATGACAGCAAAATGAAATCTATTTCAAAGACATAGCTATGATTTGCTATTTGTTTCGTATTAGAGAGAATGCAAAAATGTCTGAATTGCCTATAGTAAAAATGTCTATAGTAAATGAGATTTATAAGTACAAAGCTCAATAAAAGACTCATCTTGAAGAACTCTAATAAACCGTCACACAGCTGCACGACAAGGCACAGCAACAGGACAAATGGGAAAGTTTTTCAAGGTAAATGTTGCTCCACTTTTTTCTGTCCTCAGATAAACTCCAATTTAAAAACATTTACCTGAATACAGTTTATTTCTATTGTAAAAAACACCATTAATTACTTTTACAGAAAAATAAGAATGGGTTGTGCCCAGGAAGAGAAAGCTTTTAAAATCCCCTGTTTCATGTTCATATTGCACCTATATTTCCACCATAGGGAAAACAAACACATAAGAGTGGAAGCTGAATTTCACATTTGCCGTTGGGATCAAAATCTGTGAGTTGTTTTAAAAAAAATCAATGAGTGGGTCTTAAGTTTGAGAGTTTTTTTCTTCTTTTTTCTGTTTAGGTGATCCCAAAAATATACAGTATTAATGAAAGTACCAGTGAATAACTCCCTACTCAATGAAAAACACGCCAGTGTAGATTTTGGAAAAAAATCTGCATGGAGTTACTTGCTAACATGAAACAGCTTATTGCAGTGTTTGCCAAATTGGTTTGATGTGGCCTCAGAGGATTTATCACAGCTAGAAGACCCCTCCTGTAGATAGCAAAACAGTGAGATAAAAATCTACCTTGTCTCTAAAATGGAAAATTATTTTTTCAATCAAGAGCATTTCTATACTCGGCTGGTCATCTCTGAATAATTTCATTCAAAGCCCTGCAGAAGGTAGAGCTTTGAATGCTGCGATTATAATTCCAAAATCATATTAAAGGCTCAAAAGCAGAAAAAGGAAAAGATTCCCTTTCGTTCGTTTTTACTTTGGAAAAAGTGCTGAATGAGTTTGGAGTGCCACCGACCTTTAAAAACATTTTGATTACACATTCAGCACTACTCTTTTGGCTGAATTAAATGGCTTTCATTGAATGAATTGAATGCGCACAGACACATGGCTTTAACAGATAAAAAAAAATCCAGCCTGCCACTTGTTGGGCTAACTTGGCATCAGCATTTGCAACTGGAAAGATTTCTAGGTTTGCTAAACTCATACTTTAGTGCGCTGCCTGGAAACATCAAATGACAGTAATGAGATGGAGAGGTTCAAGGTCTTGTCAAATGCAAGTTTCATCTGTTTCATGGCTTGTCTCCGTTTAAAATTGATGTTACAGGCTTTGCAAGCTCCGCAGCTGCTGCTGTCTGCTGGGGCTGCACCACTATTGAGAAGTTAACAAGTTCAAAACAAAACAAGTGACAAAACACAACAATGGGAGTTTGAAAGAAAATATCTGTGTTTAAGGAGCATGCCGATTCCTCTTCCAGTAAGAAGGCAAGAAAAAAAAAGGGGACACTAGCTTCAGCCCTTGCTAGGTAACTGAAGGTTTGTTGTTTGGAATGTCAGCCTCATTATGGTTTCGATCTCATAGTCTTGCACCCCTATCACACAGGACGTGTCTCAGTTTTAATGCTCATTTTATATTAAAACAGAGCCCAACAAAATCACACATTTTAGTGTGTCTGTCAAATGGCTATCTAATTGTAGCAGGGATGCAGAGGGAATAGATATCTGCTGTTTTCTGCTGCCTGGAAGTATTTCTGCCATTCAGGAAGCCAAAGGATGCCACACACATTCTGTTTGTTCTACATGAGCAAACAGATTGTAAACTGGCTGATAATTTTTGTACTGACAATGTCATTTACAGCTGTCAGCCTTTTGTCTGCCGTGTTTGCTTTATTCAAATATGAACCAAGTGGACCTCCCTTCCACCCCTTTCTTCTGCATTAAAATCACATCAATCCACTTCCATTCCGTCTTATCTGAAATTCATTGGAGGCAATCACTTGGTTGAATGCTTTGGCGTTGCCATGGAGACAGAAGGTCTAGTGTGGACTTCAGGAGGATTAGGAACTTGTAAGATTTAAGTCTTGAAGTACACAGTTTCTTTGTTGCGTCTTCTTTTGATTCCCTGGAGAAAAAAAAAAGTGTCTCACGTATAGAGATATTTGAGAAAATACAGATAAGTCAAATTTGGAGATTTGGAGGGGATGGATGTTCAGTCTCGTTTGCATTCTCTTAGTGTGGGGCTCTGCGTGTACAGTTTAAAACGTACGCTTTATTTCATGCAAGCTATTTGTCAAGCTCGAATCTTTGTGCCGAAACTATGACAGTCAAAGTGGCATGCGGCGTCCGTGTACTCCTGTGGCACCTTTCGGCGGTCCTGTATAATAAATTCAGCTTTCGCCAGCAGCTCGCCTGATTTTGATCCAGCTGCATCCCAGGGCGTCACACTCAGTTCTCGAAACATCTCCCATTGTTCCGGGAGGTCAGGGCACGACGTGTTGAGTTATTCACATGAAACTGTCTGGCTGGAAAGCGGCTGCAGATGTTAGTGTTTTGTTCCTGCTGCCTGGATATTTGGGGTGTGAGTTTCTTTAAAAAAAAGAAAGAACTTGAAACACTCTTCTTGCAAAAGTCAGCAGAGGAGCCGTCTCAGGCTTTGAAAATGAGCTACTCCCTTTTTCACCGTTTCATTAGCGAGAGCAGAAAGCACAATATAAATTTAAGCCAGTTTACATTTCTAATATTTCAGCTTTTTTTCCTTACTCGTGTCATGGTCACCTAAGAAATTATTATTTGCTAAATTAATGCATTTTTTCGTATATTCATTGAAGTAACAAAAAAGTTTGGTCTTTTACAACTGTATTACAACTGTACTGTCTGCACAATTTTATTTGCCAAATGCAAAGATGAAAGTTTTGGGCATGTCAGCCTACAGTATGCATTTTCTGTCAACATATACTGTATATAGTGCCCTTATCAGTATTTATATATAGTATATAGTGCCCCTAGCAGTATTTTAGTGCAGTGAATAAGATTCATATTATTTCAGGAACACTGGAATGAATATTATTTTCTTTCTTTTTATTATTAGTATGTTATTCTTTTCATTATTTCTTTTCATTTTATTCTCAGTAAACAACAACAGTTGTGAATGCTCTGAAACATGCTCTAGGCTAGAAAAATGAAATAAAATTGGTTGATTGACAATATTAACTATGTTTTTCTAAGAATATGAATAATAAAATTCCCAGGTAAATGATGAAAAGATTACTCTACAGAACATTAAGACAGTGTTTCAATTAAAGATGGAACAATATTCCTTTATAAAGATAAACATAAAGAATATAATATATTTTTTCTAAGTAGCTATAACAAGTTCTGTTATGGAGTGACATATTATTTACGGGAAAAAGGGTACTTTATATATTTCTAATTAGACTTGGCACAGTTTTTAACCTTTTCTTTTTTTATTTTTTCATCTTTTATCTAACGTTAATACAAAACATGCTGCCACAAAGGTTAAGGGTCAAGGTAGGTGCAAGGAAAAGATAAGCAAAAATTTACTCTTCATGTTCAAGCCATTTGAACCCTTGACCTTAATTCTTGTTTTCTTCAAAAGGTTTAGGTGTACCTGGTATGCAGTGAACTGATGGGTTTCTGTTATCCATTTTATAAAAGTGGAGGTGTCTTCTGGACACATAGGAATATTACACTGTTTTGCAGAATTTGAAATTTAATTTTTTGAACTGGTTGGGAGATGACATGTTAACGTCCAGCATTGTTTTTTTTTTCCTGTGAGTATTATTTTGTTCTATAAGTCACCTTGTGGCATGTCACATAGTGTGGTTATAACACAGCTGACTATTCCCAAAGGTGTCTGCGTACAATCAGAACAATCTTTGGAGATTCTAAATATAAAACTCTGGCAGACGTGAAAACCCATTTGACCAGAACGATGTCTCATCCAGAAAACCACCGCCTGATATCACCAGGAATTACACACACTCCCTAGGAAAAGCACGAGCCAAATCAAGATACAGCAGACGTCCTGGGAAAATCTTGTCTTTTCCATTAAAAAAAACAAAAGCACTAAAAAAATGTGCATAACAACTGCAAAAGCCTTACTGCGAGACCATGACATTTCAGCAATAAAGATATCTTAAGCGCTTACCAGCAGTAAAGGTCATTTCGAGTAATAAAAGACATGCAGCTCCCATGTACTAGAATGCAAAAACAGTGTATTCACCTCTTGGTGTAGGAGCTTGCTTGTGGAATATAGGTGCCAATACACCAGAGAACAAGACGATGGCAACATGAGAGTAGGTAGGAATAGGCAGTGGACCTGTGGGCCACAATCTATTTCCAATGGCATTGTACCCTGTAACCTGGGATGCTATTAGAAGGTGCTTTGATGGTTCAATTGGTCAAGAGGAATAGTGCAAAGGAAACATGGACTTCCTTATGTAATGTCTGTTGGTCTTAATAATGATAGGAATAATACAACATAATAGTTGGTTCACTAATTTCTATTGCTCTTATCATAGCCTATATATACAGGACATTTACAGTATATACTTACCAGACCAAACAGAGCTAATAGGTACTAAAGCTGCAGTGTGGCAAAGACAATGTATTATCTCTATTTCTCATAGAAATGTAACAGTATTCTTAGTAGTATTATTTGTAGAATGGGACATTTGTCCACAGTAATGTGGCAATACTTCTTCTGGTAGTAAACAGCCCTTTCCACTGAAGGATATAGTAATTTTTACACCATTAAGGATAAAGATATTCTTTGAGTAGTATACTTGTAAGTGGACAACAACATGTACTCTGTGGGCTTGGAGGATCCAGATTACATGTAATATGTTTATTATTAAACAGTTGACGTCTAAAATGCAATCAACAAATGAATTAAATATTTTGAAAAATAATGTGGTTGGTTGAGGGAATTTTGTAAGGTGAAAATGCCAACACATTTCCGTTTATTGTTTTCCTGCAAAAACTAGGGAAAGACTGAGGTGTGAGAGGGTCTCTAAGTTTGGACAGGTAAGAGATTGTTTTCAATAATATAAACTATTAATGCTATTACAGAGCATAGAAATATGTGAGCAGAATTGTATTGCATCTTCAACATTTTATGAAATTTGACGTGCAAACAAAAGTACCCTCTCCTGACCTCTAGCAGCCAAAAGCACCTAAACAATCAATATATATCTGCATCTTGCTATTTACCAGTAGACAGCTCTGTTTACACCAATACCTATTTTTCCAGTAAATATACACCCTATTTTCATAAGTTAATAATAGCAGGACAGCAGCTGCACGATAAAACAATAGTTAATGGTGGCTGTGAACCTTAAATAGCACATTTTGGTATTTCCAAACTGGTCATATGGACAGATATAACGCAATCTTAAAAGAGTTCTTTTAGTTTTCTAAGAAAGATAAAAAGCCCACTATCTGCTTAAAGCAATGGTCATGAGGAAAATAATAAGCATTCTTGTGCTGCCATGATTCTCTCTGTATTCATGACAGAAGAGGACAAATGCTATTTAGATTTGTGGTACTTTAAATTTTTTTTAAATAAAGTAAATTAAGAAGTAAATCCCGCCCTTTACAGCAGAGGATGCCTTGAGTAGACATTCTGTATAGATCATTCAAAATAGATATGTTGTATCAGAAAATAAATTGGGAATAAGTGTGTTTATGATGAAGAATTTAGATTAGTAGATTACTGTTTTGCTTTTTTTGTCCCAGATTTTATCAGAATTCAGCAGTAATGAAATGATCAGAAAGACAGATTATGGGGGATTTTGAAAACTTTCTGCTCCAGATAAAAATTGCCTTTAGAGTTTTCTGGAGGGAACTATAATAGGAAGAATAACGGTAGAATAACAGGAAGATGATGAAGCTGTCTTAAATGGCTATGTTTTTGTCCTTCCAGTGCTAGTTTTAGAGAGGTAAGATATTTAGATATTTAAATATTTATATTTGCATTAATTTCACAATCTCACAATAAACAATTAATCTTGCAATAATCTCTTTTGAAAGCTTTATGTTGCCATCAGATTTAGCGTTCCTTCAATAGTTTATGTCCTAATATAAGAAATGGAGAAACATTTACTAGTTGACAATATTTGCGAAATGGTAAATTAGTTTTCTATATTTTCAGTGCTCATATTGAGATGAACAAGAAATTATTCAACCTTAAACAAATGGCAGACAAAACAAACACTGGAAAAGCTTGGATTAAATCTTGCCCATGCCTGTTTGGGCAATATTCAAAACTGGTAGAGGATTATTCTAAAATACCAAACCTAGAGATCTAACAAAGGAGCCTGATGATGGCAAATCAGCCATCAACATTTCATATGAAAAGCTGACAATACATTTTATATATAATGTAGCTAACCTGGTGGTCTTAAAAATATTCAGATTTTATGTTTAGTGTTTTGACAATCACTTATCATTTATTTGTATCAAATTAAGATTAAATTAAAACCTAATCAGATGAGTTTAAAACAGAACTCTCTGAAATTTTCCAGAAAATTTTCCAGAAACGTTCTGAAAGGTTAAAAAAAAATGACCTGAGTTAGAATGTAGTCAGTCAACATCATGAACCAGAGTCTGTAAGAAGCAGAACTGTCTAAGCAAAGTCTTTAAATGGACCACAAAGGAGAATGACTGAAGATATCACTATTATCTAATTTTAATTTAAAAATAATATTAAGAAACAACAAGGTTCCATTTTGTGCTAAACTACTACTTTATTCTGTTTTTTTCAGCTTATTAATATAAATAGTATATTAATTTAATGTTGTTGTTTTTGATCTGCCTTGTTTAATTTTACTCCATTTGTTTACATTTTCCTACATTTTAAAATGTAGAAAGATATTTTAAGATATTAAAAGATAAGATGTGAAGATATTTTTTGTTTTTCTGAATTCCTGCCAATAGAATTAGTGCAGAAAACTCCTAATTGTCTATGTATGTTAAAAAACAACTTGGCAGTCCTCAGCTCAATCACACCAGCATTCCCGAGAGGGTTTTTAATCTGATTTAAGCTTGGCTGTTTTACCACAGTGCTGTTTTCAGAGATATTTTGACACTGATTGTGCAGTGGCAGGTTAGAATAAAACAAACCCTTTGCTGAGGTGGTTCCCAAATCAGCTCATTTATCATTGAGGGAAACTTAGAAAAAAACAAGTGATGTTTTTTTATAAACACATATTTTAACAATGAATATAGATCGCAGGTAGTCTTTGGGATTGACGCTTTTAAATGTAAAAAATAAGACACTTTTAATTCCATCCACCATGATGTACTCCTCCACACATGTTCTAAAGAATGATGAAAGACTGAAAGGGCTTTCTCTCATCTAGTTCTACAGGACCTATAGGTAAGTGCCACTTTTAATACTGTCATTACTGGGTTTGGTAGCATGTCCTGGTGTCCTCCAGGACTTAATAGTGGTATGTGTTCTGCTTAGTACCTGCGTACATCCTCTTGACCAGTTTTTGTTAACATCATTGTATGAATTTGCACCTCTGTACTCAAATTTACCTGTAAACCGAACCTACGTGGAACTGCTTACTCACTTTTGAGCTACATATTTCACAAAGCATTAATAATTGTTTCTTGATTGTTAGGAACATTGTTTAGTTGTTTTCTCTCAAAGTCTGCTATGAGAAAATAGTAAATGCTCTGTTTCAGCCAGATTTGGCTATATAAGACCCTGCACTCACCACACACTTAGCCACACTCTCTGGTCTTGTTGTGACCCTGGTCAGTTATTTGTACCCTCAGCAAGACTGCAAGCTGTGGGTGATACAGCTTTCTCCTGCTGCATCCTTCTGCTGTGAAATACTCTTCAGTACGAGATAAAGGATTGTGAGTTCCTGTCTATTTTCAAATCTTTCTCTAAGCTTGCTTATTTATTGTCTGTGATATCGCGTTTTACCAGATTCTTTCACTCATATTTTACAAGTTCACTTACATTATAAATTGCACAGCTTTTTGAGATATTTTGTTTATGAAAAAAAAACTATTTAAAATGAAGTTTGTTATTACAAGGAAACTAATAACTGCTCTCAATGGAGGAACACTTTAATTAAAAAATACAACAGGTTTATTCCATGCTGAAAGGGAAAGAAAAGAGACACAATGTTTTTAGCTGCAGAGCCTTCTTCAGGACTGTTTTTCACACCTGAAGAAGGCTCAACAGTCAAAACGTTGTGTCTCTTCTCTTTTCAGCATGGAATAAACCTTTACTTGTTCCTTTGCAGCCTATGCATGCTGACGCAGCTACCTACTTGAACATTTATTTCAGCCCAGGCTACAGATGATGCTGTCTGGTGAGCTTCAATAATAAGGTTCTATTTTTCCTAGACATTTCTGACTTCTCATTTTGGGGTGTCCATTTTAGTCAGGCATGGGTTGATATAAAAAAAACAACAAACACCTCTTCTAATCAAAATAAATAACTGTATTCTCATGTAAAAAAAGGAATTAAGCATTTAAAACAGAAAATATTCAATTTTTTTCTCATGTATTTCTATGAAGTAATAGTCACCAATTGCCCTAATTGACATTATTGAATGTCAATTTGTATAAATAATGAACAAACTATTTTGTTTTGAGTTGCTTTAATGCTTATGCTGGTTTGGATGTTTTTTACTTGTTTGTAAAAGGTTGTTATATTTGTTCCAGTTGAATTAGCACAATAAAGTCTTGCTGTGCAGCTATGTACTGTATAAATTCCATGCAGAGGAGAATGAGAATGTGGAGGGATTTTGTATTGTTGTGATCATGTTATCTTGTAGACACAACATTTTGATTTACCTGTATAAGCAAATGAAAACATTTTCTATAGGTATGGAATCCAAACTTATAGCTCGGTTTGTGGGCAAGCAAATTACACTCATGACAAATCTGAATCAGGAATTATTTTGGTCAAATAAGTAAAATGAAGACTGAAATGTGTGGGCTCAGCTAACAATGCAGAATTATTTGGAAATCTTTATAGTCACAGACTTGAATGTATAAATTGCAGTCTTTTTAAAACAAAACAGTTTGAAATCCACTGTGAAATTATTTTAGTGATATGAATTCAAACACAAAAACATAAGATTAAACTCCAATTAACTCCCACTGCCTCAGACTCAAGTAGGTTAAGTCAAGCGTGATCTGCATAGATGGATCTCATCCAAGAGTACTTTATGAGTATTTATTTTACCAAGTCTGTCTAAGCTTTGTAATTGCTGCGACATCTTCAAATAAACCTAGAACTCGTGAGGACAAAATTCAAGTATCCTGCCTTTTAGAAATTTAAATTGAAGTACTATATCACTGAGAAAGAAAACATTGCAAGCATTTTGCTTTAATCCTCAAAACCACTCAACGCAACAGAACTTAAAGTAAAAAGCACAGAGGTTCTTTTTTACCTGATACCTTTTCACTTCATAACAATTAAAATATTTTAGTTTGAGTCCTAGTAAAAATAGTACTGCTAAGCGGTCATTTTCAAACCACTAATGCAGAGCAACATTTGCTCCCAAATGTCAGTGTCTGAAAACAAAGTTTAAAGCTGCAACACCAAAATAAGAGATTGGACATGGAAAAGAGGAAGCATTTTTTCACTTAAACACAGTTTTTGGAAATGGTGTAATTTAACAGACATTTGGGATGAGATCAAATTCTAATCTTGCACTTATGGTCTCCTATAGTGTAAATACTTGCTGGCTGCCCACAGCAAATTCTTTCCAGCACACCTCCCTCCGCCCCATCTATACCTTTGCTGCTGTCTCCCTGGTTCATTCCTCGTAACTGAGGGGAGTTGTCAGAGCTGACCATTTTCCTCAGCAAATACCTATCTTAAGTATTAAGTACACTATCCTTTGTGTGCTTGATATTTGTAGGATCATTTCAGTGTTATTATAATATGGCTGATCTGTTGAAAATTAGTTGTTATTAATCTGGCACTAGAAAAAGTGGCGACTTTTTTTTTCCTAAGGAGAAAAATACTTTTACAGCCATTGTATAACTACAAATAAAAGCATTTTGCTAATTTTGCAAGCACATGTGTGGACTGTAAATTGCCTGTAATAACAAAAGGGGATGACGTCGTATAATACTGTGAGGGTTTTTCAACTCCATGCAAGGTCATTGAATTCTAACACAAAATGAACACCAATATTGTGCAGGCATCACACAGCTTGCCCTCTTCATGCTGTTGTTCAACTGACCACAATGGAATATGTTAGTCACTCATTTTGCATCTGGCTTTACATCAAGCATAGACTGCTGACTAGTTGCAGTCATAACATTTTAAGTTCACCTGACAAGTGATCATTCAAAAGTAGGAACAATGTTATGCTTTCAAATACAATGTTGCCCTTTCCTATACACCGATAACATATTGCAGAACTGAAATGTAAAATGTGACTTTAAAGATAAAAGAAACAGTGTCCCGTGTTATGTTCTTTGAGCTCTGTATTTTTGGTAGTTGTTGCATTTATTCAGATTTCAATTTATGTTTCCACTGGTTGCTCTAGGGAACAGAATTCTGTGGGTTTTCTTATGAAATGGAGTCTTATAGGCAATGTGCCTCTGATCTCCGATCAGCACTGTCATTTCTTCATGGCCAGGCCAGTTTAAGCCGAAGTACTAAGAAGGCTATCCCTTTATATTCTTCAGCTCATTTCGCCATTATTAGAATTTGATCAAGCAACTGAACTTTTCTTGAGCAAAGAAGAGAGCACACAATGAAATGAAATGTTTTGTAGTACTAAAATTTCTCTGTGATCGTACAGATCAGATTGTACCAAACTCTTAAATTGAAAAGTTTGGTTCATTTTAAATAAAAGATCTAAGGTAGTTAAAAGGTTCTTTTAATGCTCTGAATATTATTTTGGGTGTTACAAACCAGCATCAGAGTGTTAAACCAGCAGTTTGCACAGTAATATGTCTAATTAAGAAACAATTAGATTAACCTTTTAATTTGCTATTCAGATTGGCTCATGAAACAACTAGGCCTTCCAGGAATTAAGTCTGGGACCCCTGTGCTAAACTGTTAGCAATATAAAATAAAACACATCATGTTTCTAAATGTTTATGAAATAAACCACATCAATTAAATATTAGAAAGTAATGCAGGAATGCTTAATTCAATATTCTGGACCAGCTACTTAAAATTACAGTATGTGCGTTTGCTACAACACTGGCTATAGTTCAAATTAAAAAAGCTGTTTACATCAAACATTTCCTCAGATACAGCACAATAGAAACTTCTTGTCAATCTTAAAAAATAAT